TATTTACGAGTAATGTTTGTGGTCAAATAAAATAACTGGCGAGAAAGCTGTGCTTTGGTTTTAAATATTCCTCTTGCAAAAAAGATATTTCAGTCACAACTGAAAATGTTAAACATCAGATACATCCCTTTATCCCTTTTTTATGTTGAACTGTTTTTGCTCTTCACCAACTTTTACATTCGCGAAGCTTCAGGGCCTTAACGCATTTCGGCATGGGGAAGTTTTTTTTCCTTAAAAATCGCCTTCTGTAGTTACCATTTTTTTCACAATAACTTGCTTGCAAATTGTACGTAACGAGTAAGTTCTAAAATAAATAAATACTACTGCATGTGATATATAAAAAAAACCTAGAGCCATCTACGGCACACATGCGGCTCCGTGCGAGCTTCGTGCGAGCTTCGAGGTCTCCCACCCTCACCTTACCCCCCCCCCCCCCCACGTTTATTCACCTGATGCAATTAAACGCGAATTCTTGCACTTGAGATTCACAACATTTTCAGCAGCAGCTCAGCCACTGCCAATACACACACGCGCGCTCACGTCAACAAACTCGGTGCTCTCTCTCCCGCTCCAATTACGCGCGGGGGGAAGTTCCTTTGCCTGCCAGCAACGACAACAAAAACTCCTGGTCTTTAAGTGCCATACGGTGATTAATGAGACGCTTTGCTCGAAAAGCAATGCCTTAAGAACGACGACGTCATGTTGGACCACTTGGTATATTTTCGCCGTCGGCCCGGATAGTTCTCTGGTGGTTGTCGTGGTTGTTACAGCGCGATGTTAAGAACCGAAGCTCCCAGAAACCCAACAAACTTCATAATGCATCTCTTTTTTTAACAACAACAACAACAACAAAAGGATGCCTCTTCTTTCGCGCGACAGCACCCACGCCTCGTGGCGAGGCAACAGCTGTGGACCCCTCTCTCCACCAGCGAATGTCCTCAACGTGACTTGAAGATCGGGTGTCGTCACCAAGGCACTTCTAATGCAAGCACTACAAATACAAATGTATGAACAACAAAAAACGTTTAAACGATACGTATAACAATGAATTACGGGACTGTCAAATATTACTGTCGATAAATGGTGCATTTCAACACCATATAACATGCACTATATCAACTTTCAAAGTAAATACTCCTCTCAAACCGATTACACTACAGAACAATCCTCCATCAGAAGGTAATTGTCTTACATATATTTTTCCTATCATTATAGAAGACTTCATAGCTTAGGAGAGTAATGGGCAGAGAGAGAGAGAGAGGGGAGGGAAGGTCGTAAGTCTGTACTTAAACAGATGCATGGAGTCGGTAGCACGGATAGCGGAGGGAGAGCTATTAGACAGTGGGAGCTACAGAGGAAGGGGGAGACCCTCCCTCGATGCTCCACTTTCCCGTGCGCGCGGCATGTAAACGCCATCAATAGCTCCCTCGCCGACTGCATCACCTGTTGTAGAAGTTGACCAATAATGTAAATGGGAATTACGTTCAATCAGCATTCGTTCTTCCCCGCCAGCGGTGAGATCGCGCTCCCCCGCGGCAAGGGAGCCGTCCTCTCCACATAAATCTAAAGTACTGTAATTTATTTAACATTCCATCAGCCTGTGGGGTTTCCAGACTAATATCACTCAAGCATTTTGTTTCAACAAACTAAGTCTTGACCGGTTTCGACATTTTTTTGCTGTTGTTGTTGGATATCATCAGACGTATCAGGCTTCGTGGAATCACTCTCGTACGCCCTGGGCTAATCCGCTGCTGGATGAATGCCTCGCCAAGCCCGCCGCCACCGCCACACTTCACGATTGGATTGTGCGAAGGAATTCTAATCCAAGCTAGCGCCCAAGCTGATGTTGTCGGCTTTGCTGTAAAATGTTGCGTGTCGAAGTTATTGACAGGGGCGCTCCGTTCACACGACGGGAGTCCCTGGTGAGTCCAAAGAGCAACAACCAACGTAGCAAAACAAACCCAAAAACCGTCACGAGCAAATGAATGTACGTCCTGATAATAATAATCACCATCATCATAATAATACAGCTTGGTGTTATATTGGCAAGAGCGCTCTGTCTACAAAGAGGCCCTGCCCGACACAACGATGATAATCCGAATATTTATTTATACCGGAAGAATCCGATGAGCTATAAAGCGTTTTTATTCACAGATGTCCAGAGTAGGGTCACAGATGTCCCAGCAGGGATAACAAACGACGCGATAACGGCGTAACAAAATCTCAAGCAATGGATTGACGTCCTCGTCGTAGTGGCTGCTCTGAACGGGTGTTGATGATAGTGCCGCCCGCAACGCCTGCCGGGTTCCATCGACAAGCGGGCGAGAGAGAGAGAGATGGAAGAGGACGAGGCGAAAGACACGGGCAGGCGACTTGCTGACGTCGGTCTATCTCTTTGTATCGTCGCCACGCATAGAGACCTACGTGCGCTGAAATAAGCGCTGAATAAACGGAGGCTGTCCGAGCCACGGCGCAACACGAGTGCATCAATTATGCAGCACGTTTATGGAGTCCAGCGCGTCGATATTCGCACTTGCCATATACAACCACGACTGCTTGCACGGTTACCCGTGTCTGCTTGTGTGTGTGTGTGGCTGGTTCATGTAGCCCGCATGCCCAGTCACCGCAAGCCTAAACAGCTTTTGTTCGGCAAAATAGAGAGGGCTAAACGGGCGCGGCACGGGCTAGATAAGAGATGGAGTGATGTGGTAGAAGAGGATGTCGAGCTGAGTGGACTTGCCGATGAATGGTACCAGCTGTGTCAAGATCGGCCTCTGTGCAGGAGGCTCGTGAAGGACGCTACTGGGCAGTTGGAGGCAGTCGCCCTCCAACAACGGAGGGCGGAGGAGCGACGCACACAACAACGAGCGGAGCGCCGGGTGGCTAAAGCACAGCAAGTTGGCAAACTAGGGGGCACAGGTGGTGCATCGGATAGTCATCCGAGTCAGTCGACGCGTGGCACCTGGGTCTGCCCCGTGAACTCTTGCCGGCGGGCGTTCGACACAGCACGTGGCCTCAACGTGCACATAGCCTGGCACAAGCGCCGTGGTGACATCACCACCACTTAGTGGCGAATGGCGCTTGTTGTTGATGTTGTTGTGTGTCTCTCTGTTTGTGTGGGGATCGGTAGTGTAGCGGTGAGCGCGCTGCGCTACGAACCCGGAGACCCGATTTTGATTCGAGTTCACGGACAACACCGGTGACGATTATCTGAACCGGTCCTGGGCATCCCCTAGGTCGACTCAGCCTCAACTGAGTACCTGGTGCGGTGTGTAAACATCACGACTGCAGACGAAGGCGGCCGGGCGTGGTGTTGGCCGCCCACCCCACGTGTGTGCCATACCGGCCTTCGTAGGTGTTCGCTAACAGCACTTGCCCCCAACATCTTTGTCTCTGTGTGTATACTGCACGCGTGCGTGTGTGTACTGCTCAGAGGCAAATGTGGCCATGCGTGGTGTTGGCCGAGCCGCTCTCCCTCGTGTGCCGTGCTGGTCCTGAATTGACGTTCGTTATAGCGCTTATCCAACACGTCTATATAGTACAACACGTCTATATATAATACAACACGTCTATATATAATACAACACGTCTATATATAATACAACACGTCTATATAATACAACACGCCTATATAATACAACACGCCTATATAATACAACACGCCTATATATAATACAACACGTCTATATAATACAACACGTCTATATAATGCAACACGTCTATATAATACAACACGCCTATATAATACAACACGCCTATATAATACAACACGTCTATATAATACAACACGTCTATATAATACAACACGTCTATATGGTTATCGCTACCAAGGCGGAGTGGCTGGGTTCGACTCCCCGCCGAGGGGGTTCACGTGAGCGGCGAGTGGTATCTGAGACGAGACGTCAGCGATGGGGAAACAAAGAGGGCCCGGGAGAGGTTTCATCCCTTACCACCACCCTGGTGTGCCGTGCCATCCTTCATCCGTGTTCACGAACGGCGCTTGCCCCAAGGCTACACGGGACCATCTCTCTCTTTGGAGACTCTTGGTATTCGGAATTTCACAGCTACGATGTTGTCAAGCCGCCGCTGAACGCGAACATCCCCCGTGCTCCCCCATGCTGAAGCCCCCATGCTGGTTCATTGGGGAGTTGTTTGACCATACTTCACCGCGATGGTTAATACGGAATCGCAAAGAAGGTGGGGGGGGGGGGGGGTGCAGGGGGTTTGACCGCATGGGACATCACGAGGCACTGTTGCTGTTGTTGCAACTCAGGTGGCCGGGTTCGCTCGCGCAATGCGCTAAGCACCACTCAGCTACACCAACCCCCGCTGTGTGTATCGTGCAGAGTCTCGGATGTGCCTACGGCCAATTCAGCCAACCTCGTCGAGTCTCGGAAGCTAAGCGAGGCTGAACCTGAATAGCGCTCTGGGCTTGTCGGACAAAATGCGTAACAGGTGCTATAGGCTTTGGGGGGCTAAGCGGTGTCAGCTTAGGGGAGGGTAACACACAAAAGCACAGATGTAGCGTACTTCTATGCTCCCAAGTCTTTCTTTATTGCCGTCACCAACCCGTATACCCACCCTCAAGCGTGATGAAGCACGGACAAATAACCCCGCACGGCGTGGGGAGGCCCTCATTGAGCAGTGGATCGACACAGTGGACTGCGCGCGCGCACTGCTAATCACGAGGCTGTCGATGACATTCGCCGTGAACGTGCGGCAACATCGAAGTGGTCACTGGCGGGCGAACGAGACGACGCGTGATTGATATGCCAGGGCATCCGGTGTAGTGATCAGCCAACAGCTGATACAGTCATGCAGATGATGAGCCGGCCACTGCTGATGAGCCCCATGCAGAGGTAAATGAGACGGGGGGGGGGGGGGGACGATGAAACGTGAACTATCGATCAGAGACGATGGTCCAAGGGAACAAAATATTCACTCCGCACGAGATGATGAATCAGGGAACGACCGGTACAACTTGCGAACAGACGAGGAGCCGGGGGAGTATATGATACCGGAACGATGAGCCAAGCAAACAGATGATGTGCCAACAGAGTGATGATGTGCCAACAGGGTGCTGATGAGTCAGAAGAGCGCGAGCGATAAACCAACGAGCAGATGATGATTCTGGCGGCGGGCCAAGGAACGGATGAGTCGTCAGATAATGAGCCAGCATGTAGCTGATTAGTCGGATGAGCCAGCAAGATAATTGAGCCATGGCTCACTTTATCTGTACGGGTCACCGGTAGACCGGGAGGTGGAGGCACGTGACGAGTAGCCACAGCCGTAGCGAGCGGTATACTGGATGTGGTGTGCCGGGCGCGGAGATATTTTCCGTGTCTCTGACCCGGACAGATCCGGCTCACGATAAGCCGTGGAGGAACTAAGGCGACAACTACGAGCCACCTCACAGCTGATGATTCACGGTCGATCTGAGTTAGCGCACAGCTGATGAGTCACGGTAAATGTGAGTTAGCGCACAGCTGTTGAGTGAGATACTGACCGAGCGCAATGCTGATTCACCGGAGCATAAGTCACCTTAACAGCTGATGAGCCACGACGCATATGAGCCAGCACACAGCTAATTAGCACGATGGTGAGCCAGGGCACAACTGTTGAGCCCCGTTCGTACACGAGGCATCGCACAGCCGACGAGCGGGCGCGCAATTAAACGCCTCCCACATCCTCCTCGCCGCCGTCTTTGTCTCGACGCACGCGTACGTGGGGACGTCACGACTCGCCTCGGATCCCCGTTCCATTGGTCCGAAGGCGTCGCTCCACGAGCCGGCCCTCGGAACGCCCCCGCCGCGCCTTGTACGGCGCTGGAGGGCGGCTGCTGCTGCTGCTGCTCCGTGAAGAGCGAAGGGAGAGAGTGCGGGCAGACGGAGACGCGAGGATCGCGGAGGGAGGAACGCGGAGCGCCGAAGCGGCGCGGTGTGTTGTGTTGCGGCGCGGACCCGTCCGGGACGCGTTCCTCATCCACAGTGGAGGCTTGCCAGCAGCGCGCACCAGCAGAGACGGGGATCAAAGAGAAGGAGGCGGTGGGATCCTGCAGAGACTAACGAGGGGGTGGGTTGGGGGGGGGGGCACTGGAGGAAGCAGCAGCACCGACCTGTGCTGGAGTTCAGCTTTAACATCAACACCCCTGCACGTGCAGAATAATAGTGCTGCTGCGACTACTGACTACTCTTAACTGTTCGATATCGACATACAGACACGCGCACGTCTCCCATCATCACGTGGCTAACGCGCCCGGTGGGGGGGGGGGGGCGGATGGGACGAGCACCTCTTTACCTGTGATGATTACGACGACGATGATGATGATGCTGATGAATACGAAGATGGTCGCAGGGATAAGCGAGCGGAGGAGGAGGAGGAAGAGCCAGTGAATCGAGAGAAAGTTTGGCGACGCAAGACGGCGCCGGACGTGATCGAGGCGAGGGAGGTATCTGGAGGCGAGGGATCAGCAGTTCGGCGGGGATCAGACCGGATTACTCGCCAGTCGCTACGGGAGCCGAGCACAAGCTCACTGAGCAACCCCAGAGCCTCGAGGAGGAGCCCACGACGGAATACAAAAGAAGAGCAGCAGCAACACATCCGGACGCGGACGATGCCGGCGAGGCGCGCGGGATCAGGTGAGCGCCCTTGGCATTTTGCAAGTCGGCTCTGGCTCGTGCGCGTGCGGTGTCCTCGCCGCGTGTCTCCAGCAACACCGCCGCCTTCGCGCTGTGCTGTCGCGTGCACTCGGGGCTCAGTGCGCCGCTCGGTGTTTTCTGGAGCACCGTAAGACGGTCTTGTGGTCGGGATTGTCGGCGTAAGGCACTGCCACTCAGGGTACAAGGTTACGCGTAACCGTAACAAAGCAATATTATTGCACATTGCATTTCTATGATCGTGCGGACGACGCCGCAGAAGTCTACGGAGGACAACAATGAGGCGAGATGCAATGTGGCGTGAGCATAATAATTCCCCCGGAACGGCGTCCCGGACTGTCCCGGCTTAAACGAAGCACTGCGCGCACTACAGCACACGCACGCACGTGCGCGCGTTGTGTTATCGTCTATCGGTGATGGTAGTGCACTGGCTGGATGCGAATTTAGAATGCGAGATACCGCCAGCAGTAGGACCAATAACCATCGCGCGCACGTGCACGCGACCATTTCTAAACGCTGAACTTGGCCACCCCTTTATTTAATAATGCGTCTCTCCGCATCAAGAACCGGGCTCAGAGCGGAAAATCGGGTCTGACGAGCTGGCTCGGTTGGGGCTTTTAAACGTCGCCTCCTGTAGCCGCAAGGAGGGGTGGGTGGGGCTGTTTGTGGTGGTGGTGGTGCAGCGCCTGGGATAGAGCGCACCCATCGAGCAAGGCTCGTGGTTAATGCCCGTCCCGAGGATGACTTACGACCCCAGCGCCGAGCCGTAACGCAGCGCGGTGGAGTCGCTGCCGAGACGCGAGCGGAGCGCCCCGACTGAAGGCCGCTAATGAAAGCGGTAAATTTGAGGCGAAGGCTGCACGGAGTGACGGGGCCACGCGGAACAAAGCTGCACGGGGAGCAATCGCGTTGCCGGTGCCTGCACTTTTCGCGGGCAGAGTTGTTACACCCACTCCCCCCCCCCCCCCCCGAAAAGGCAATTTTTATTTCTCGTGACATTTTATTTCCCAGAGCTCAGCCCCGCACAAGCTCCGGCTCGGAATTAATGAAGCGTGCCTCTTCCACGTGTGATTTGAAGGTTCCAGGCGAGGTTGGTCCCACAACTCTTGGCATTCGCTCGGAGCTGGACATCCCGGCTGTTCGTAGTACCCGACCGCCCGGGGTCTTGCTTGTTCCCGGTGCGTTTCGCGAACGCTGTTCAACAACAAAAATAAATTCGCTGCGGTGGCCTTCTCTGTTTTTTGTGGTGATGAGATCTGAGCCGACGCGGTTCAGGCGGTTTGCTGGTTGGAATTGACGCGGGTCGTTCCTTCACGAGAAGTGACCTCTAACGCTGCCTTGCCCTCTCCCTCCCCTAGTCTCAACCTGCTCCTGCAGGGGCCCAATGTGATTGCGCTGGGGGTTTGCCGCACGCGCGATGTGCCTGTACGCGCTGTCTCCCGTCGCCGTGCCTCTCATCAGCAATTGCGTCCCCGTGGCCACCGCGTTCAACGCGGGCGTGTTCACACACTTCGGAGAGGGTCGTTTTGTTTTGTGTGCGTATGCGTTGAACTTATTTCGCACCGTCCGTAGCCAACCGCGCGCTGATCGGAGGTGTGGGCGAAGGTTCCAGGCGTGATTGGGTTGTGTTTCCCACTACTGACAAAGTGTACGTACACACCATGTACACAGCGTATACATAGCCGATTGCAATGTGTACATCGTCTCTGTAACGTATGTATACCGAGCCTGTTCAACGTAAATATAGCCTAAACATATATACCATGTAACATAGTAGATATAAACAGGCACACTTGATACCTAATACGAAGCGTATGCACGGAGTAAAACACATATACGTTTACGTATACGCATAAATAATTGCTTATACAAACTATAGAACATACATTATACTGGAGCCGTGTGTTTACTGGATGGATGGCGGTGCGTGGTGATCGAACACACTCCATAGACGCGCGTATCACAATCTGTGTGTGTGTGTGGTCTCCCTGTTGGTATGCGTGGCTGTGCGTGTCCGCTTTCTTTGTGTGGGTGGACGAATAGTATCTTAGCAATGTATTTTACATTGCACGGAAATTTCTTCAGAATACAACCGGCGTGCTTCGGGTAAGCAACACTGCATTCCAAGCGTGCTTTTTTTTACTTAATTGCTCTCCAGCTTTCACACAACGTCACGTTGCTGCACGTGAGATATATATAGATAGATAGGCAGACGTATATATGCAATCTTGGGATATAAATGCAATCGTAAATGTACTGCGTCGGCCAATATACCCAGGCATGTTGTCCAAATCCGAAATAATAAAAACGTATGTTTCCCAATGAACCCGACGAGAGATGGTGAAAATAGCTGAACCGTGTCTCAGTTTGTCAATATGCCGATGCTATATTTACAATAGATGCCACGATTTAACTCATCGCTGTCGATCTTTAATCTCGGATAGATGCAACGCATCGTTTGTTATCTCCCGCACCTCCGATGAACACGGGTGGCTACGTACGGTGCGAAAGAAGTTCAACGTACACACATTGTATTGTAGACGGTTTTTTGGGTATCCTTTATGTTTTGGTGGTGTAAGTGGTGAGCGCACTCCCCTGTGAACCCGGCCACCAGAGTTCAATTCCATGCCACGGCGAATACCAAGTGGCGAGTGATATCTGAACCGATTGTGTCCACCCACTTCACCACCCCGAAGCGATCATCGCGGTGTATGGTCCAACAATCCCCAAAATCGACACGGGCGAGATAGAGAGACCTTCATCCAGCAGTGGATGGACAACAGCGTGCGAAATATTGTTGTAGACGGTATTAAATAATTGGTTCATTTGACCCATCCGGCCACTAGAGGCCGCTACGTTAGCGGGCATTCAAATATATATAATAAAATCGAATCGCGACTTATTAACAGCGGTTCGTTGAACCGCGACGGGCCCCGCTCGTTATAACAACAGTGAATCCACTGCTGGATGAAAGCCCTCCCTCCACGTCACATACGTCATTGGGATTTGACCATAATTCACCGTGCTCGGTGCCCGCACGACACGTAAGTGGACATCACGGGCGACCTCTCGTACACTGGTTAATGAAAATAGGCAGTAAATAATTAAGCAACTGTCGGAAGCACGTCACAGAGGGTTGCGAACATGTCAACACACACACACACATGTTCCGGGTGCAGGCCGTGCGTGTGCTTCATGAAGGTCCTGACACCCGAAACGTAAATAGTTGATTTATTGTCCAAACGGCCGAAAGTTAGTGGGGTTTTTTTGTGTTTTGGTTTTGCCGCTGCAATACATTTTAACATGTGCAGCATGCGGTGTTACCATCGTCCAAAGCATGAGCTTTTGACATACCTTACAGGCTCACTGCATTGCAATGCGCAGTGGGAAAGCAGCGACGCGTCGAGTTTGACGAGTCTCTGGGTGGGACTAACGCCACGCAGAGAAGCGCGCGCGAGTCCCAATCGACTGCAGTTATTCACACGACGACGTAACGCGCAAGAGAGGACAGGTTGAAGCTACGCAAGAACAACAACGTCCGATTGTTGGGTCCGATCGCAGTGTGGCTACCACCATCGTCATTTAACCTTGAGCTGCTCACGAGCATTCTACATTGCCATGACGGAGGCCAATACATCCATACGGCTACCGCTGTCGTCATGCTATATCGGCGTCTAAGGGATGACGAGCTGATTTGAAATGTCATCGTTGGGGTTAAGTCTTCACCACAGCGCCGTGGTGTTCATCGTTTAAATCAGCGTTGGTCAATCCACTGCCTCAAGCCACCGCTATATCTCAGGATGCTGAGATGTAACCAATTCTATAAAAATGTCGAAAACTCGATGTCTTAAAAGATTGGAAGGAAATCGTAAATCGATTTTTCTTCCATATTCAACGAATTCCATGTTTTTTTGTGTTTTAAACAGTGTGTTTGAATAAGAATGCAATAATTTGTCATGAATAATAAAATATCAGAAATTGTAACAATAAAAAGGCTCACGGGGTAACACGGAATTGTGTTACCTCCCAAGATATATACCGTAAAAGAGAATGATTAATGTTACGGAATAACTATGATGACACACGGGCGATTGTTGAAGGGGCAACACGCAACCGCAAATTTTTAGTCTCCTTTCCAAATGTCAAATAAATTTAAACGATGGTAATATAATACACCACTTTTTTTTTTACAAACGCTGTTATTGCAGCGTCTCGTTTGTATTTGCCCTTCTTCTCCACCTCGTATTGTTTATCGTCTATCCACTGCATCGTTCAGAAATGTCGTATTAAGCCTTGCTTTAAATGTGACCAATTTCACATACACGTCCGTACGTGTCCCTTGTCGTTTAGGATATTATAAATTTTACTATGACATTGTTTGCAACGTGGAGCATATGGACAGTCTATTTGCTTTGGTGATATTCAATCAGGTGTTAATCTATTCATAATTGTCTGTTTTGATTATTTCCTCTCAATCTGTTACGCATGCTCATTGTGCATAAAATTCAATTACGCGCCCGCGTTCTGCATTTATCATTGATCGTGATCTTATCGGTTAAACATCTTTTTCGCATATTGCATTCATTCAATTAAATGCAGCGCTCTCCTTCATTACAACAAAGAATTAAACGGCACAATGTAAAAAAAATAATCTACATCGAATAGACAAAAACCGGCCGGCCGTGATGTCGGGGGCCTCACGAAGGCAAAGGCGCAGCCCTGCAAGTGCGCCCTTACGCCACTGCACTTCATTGCTGGCAAGTGATGAGTCTCCACTCGAGGCAGCTTGCAGAGAAGCTCCTCTCGAGCATATTGGCCTCGCCTTGCGCCCAACACTGGCCAGGCAGCTTTTGTCGAGGTTGGAGGTTTCTCCCACATTTTTACCCCACCACACGCAAACCACCCCATTGACTGGTGCCCTATTTGCCGTATACCGCTTGCCGTGCGGCCAGGCAGCTTGTGCGGTGGTGGAGGTCTGGGTT